TTTGTAGGAAGCTATTATTTTTTCTTAAGGAAATCTGGAATTCTTTCGCAAAATAAAAAGTAAAGTTTATTTCTATAAAAAGTTGTAGTAGCACGTAGTGGGAGCTCTCTTGGTTCGATCCCGCCTATTTCTGTTGTATACCTACGTGTTTCGCTTCGGAGAGCTGTGCCGCCATTTTCATAATCACATTGCTTCAATTGGGCCGTGAGCCCAAGCAAAAATCAGTTAAAACAATCCAAGCTTTACCGCTGACAGCTCTTCTGAAACCTCATTTGAAGGAAGACTTGTTATGACACTCAGAAAATACTGTGCAAACCTAATCCAGCGTCAAGGTTAGGTACGGTAGGTGTTAGGTACGTGTATTACTGCAATGGTTCCAGATAGTTAGGTTTTTTTTTACTTAGGACAGCTTTTCTCTGACGGCGGAATCTTCTTAAACTATATATCAGAGTCATGAAACATATAAAGTACAAAGGGAACCGAAGATTTCAGTAACTGTTTCATCACAGTAGGACTTCATTTGCAAATGTAGGCAAAAAACCCATATTTTTATAGACTTAACCTTGACGTTACGACGCACAAACATACGGAACACGTTGTGTTAGCCGCAACAATTCATTAACAATCAAAGACTATAGTTTGAGTGTTTTTTTTTCTTCAAACAACAGATGTTTTCAATTCAGAAAACGGTTTTTACGTTATTTTTCCGTACTAACCAATAAAGCTAGACCTCCCAATAAAACTAGATGTGACTTCTTACGTGAAATAAAAAGTAACATGTATCTCCTATATACATAAAAACAGATATACCTACATAGTTTTAGAACCAGAGTCGTTATTAAATCAAGATTATTTACAGTGGACATGTAGAAATCCGCACAAGGTAAGACATAAAAATTTTGCCTACTGATAAAATTCGTTTATTTATATATATAAAAAAAACATAACATGATTTACGTGCATTATCCGCTAAAACAGAGCTCGGAGACCATTTATTTAAAAGGCTGTCTTCATCGATGCCAACTCCTATTGATTTAATATAAACATTATCAAAGCACTAATGGAAGCTTTAAATATGGATTTATTGCTCCAAAAATTTACGGATCGATGAGATTAAAATAATAATTTCAATGCTTACAACATAAACATATCCAAGCTTTACTGCTTCCAAGGAGTTTTCTACAAACTGGTTGCTCTGGAAACGATTCCAAAGAGGTGCTTCACGTATTACGTATTTCCTGGGAATAATATATACTGCATTTGACAAGAATATTGATAATTTGATCTTGTTGCCCGGATGACTAAGCGCTTTAACTCTCAATTCAAAACAAAATATAAATATTTGTATGCCTAGTACTGTCGCTAAATATATATATAAAAAAAAAAAGATTTGTTGAACAAGCTATGCGTTCATGTTATTAGTGTGATAAAGATCTTCCCTGAACTACTAAAAATAATTATGAAGTTTGATACTTCATACTTACTTCATTAATATTCGATAAATGGATTTTTTTTTCTCCCTATGCTGATAGCCTTGAGAGGCTATTTCAGCTTCACCCTAACGTTTGTAGGTGAGCTCACGGGGCTCAACCGGAGAGTTGCTAACACTGACCCTAGCAAGAGCAGTGCTTCGCAGAATCTACCACCGGATCGGAAACGCGACCCACTGAGAAGATCCGGCGAGAAACTCAGTGGGCTAAATGGAATGACAGTGCCTAAAATACCAATTACCAAAATTAAATATTAAATCCAATTAAATCAAATTTATCAATTTAATCTCTAGTTTTTCTTCTTTAAGCGAGTTCATTCTATTCACGTTTTTAGAAAACGAATTTGACTTTTCTGACTTTAATAGAATTCACAGACGAGTTGTTATTTGCTTTGCAAAAGATTTACAGATTCAATTCTGCATGAATAAAAATTGGATAATCGTTAAGCTAAATACGTTATTTGTACTTATTTCGTTCGTGAATGATGTCCACAAATACATTTTGCCGTTCAAATTCTTGTTCTTTGTCTATTTGCCAAGGAGACATCATGTATTGATATTTAAGGAGTTGACGAGTGAAGTCCAAGGTCGAGTTAGGTAAAAATAAACGTGTATTAGTATACATAATACAGATGAGCTTTTCGAAGTGGAACGTATGACTGCGTCTCGGCAGAAATAGGCCGTGCGGCCTCCAAAGAAGCCTTTTACTTGTAAGTTTTAATAAGCCCTGTTTTAAAACCTAAATGTTTTTGCACAATAATTTTGAGTAATACACCAATAAATATTACTAAAACGTGGCCTTTTTAGCTGTCTTAATCAAATTGAAACTTTTTTAAAGAGCAAATCAGTAGACTGTAATAATGTAACATAATTTGTGCAAAATAAATATTTTCAAAAAGTATTCTTTACAGTCTCGTCAAATATTTAGAAAAAATTCAATATTTTCATACACATTTATTACATACTAGTGACCCGCCCTCGCTTCGCTTCGGAGACTATAATTTATTATTGATTTTATTGAATTTTTTTTATACAATTTAGAACCTGAAAAATGACTGTATTCACTGGTGGTAGGACCTCTTGGGAGTCCACACGGGTAGGTACCACCACCCCGCCTATTTCCGCCGTGAAGCAGTAATGCGTTTCGGTTCGAAGGGTGGGGTAGCCGTTGTAACTATACTGAGACCTTAGAACTTATATCTCGAGGTGGGTGACGCATTTACGTTGTAGATGTCTATGGGCTCCAGTAACCACTTAACACCAGGTGGGCTGTAAGCTCGTCCATCCATCTAAGCAAACAAACAAAAATGATGTAATATAGGATATTGTACCTAGTCCAGCCATAAGTTCTGTTACAAATGAAAATGCATTTTTTTTAAATGAAGTAATGTAACATTATTACAATGTATACCTACTTATTTATTAAAGTCTCAGCAAAAAACAAAAAAAAACTATTCTATTCGAAATGGCCACCTTTGGCTTTTGTACAGGTCTTTAATCTGTTTGGCCACGATGGAATCACGCACTGTTTCCAAGGGAAATTTCGCCACTACTTGCTTTAAATATTTTTAAGAGATTCAATGTCGCCGTGTCGCTTAGAGCAGGCCATGTCCTCTAAAACTGACCATAATTTAAAGTCTAAAAGGTTGAGGTCTAGGCTAGATGAGGGCCAGTCTTCAGGTTTTATAAAGTCCACAACGTTGGTTTCAAGCCAGGCTTGGGTAGTTCGTGTCTTGTGACCAGGTGCAGAGTCCTGCTGGAAAGACCACGGTATATTTTAAAAAGTTTATTGCTGAGAGATTTCACAACATGATCTAGGACTGTATCTTGATACGCTTTGGCTGAAGTTTTCACTCCTTTTTCACAAAAATGTGGTTTTGTGACTTCTTGATAAAACACGCCCCACCAAACCATCACTGACGCAGGATGATGACCACGCTGTGCCTCTCCGACCACTTGAGCAGCTTCTTTAGAACTGTGAGCGAACACTTTATCACTTTGCTTATTGTAGTGTTCTTCAATCGTAAATTTTTTTTAAAGAGGATATTTCTTTGCTTTTCACCTGGGTATCGCGACAGAAGGCGTTTTGATCAATCCATTTTTTTTATTAATAAATATTGATTTAGGGCTTGTCTTGTATATCTATTCCCTGGTACATGTACATTTTATAGAGTTCATGAATTTGTAAGATAGGCTTTGAAAAAGGTGCTTTGAAACTGTTTCAGAGACTGTAAGCGCTATAAATAACAAGCCTTAACGATAAACATTATTCAGATTTACAAAACAGAAAAATTCAATTATTATCAGATTATTAATTTTAAATTTCATGAGCTCGCAATACAATGCAAACATACAAAATAGAAAAATTCAATTATTATCAGATTATTAATTTTAAATTTCATGAGCTCGCAACACAATGCAAACATACAAAATAGAAAAAATCAATTATTATCAGATTATTAATTTTAAATTTCATGAGCTCGTAACACAATGCAAACATAGCTGGCGATTCGGCCAATGCACTTGTCAGATGTGAGATAAAGGGTCTTGTCAATCATTCATCAATCAATCAGTAGGCAGCGGATTGGCTGTGCTCATAGCGGTACTGATATTCATGAGCGTCGGTGACTACCTATCACATCAAGTGGGTCAAAACCTCGTTTGCCTACAAAGACAATTAAAAGAAGCTCCCATAAACTCACCGCACGGGATGCCATCTTATTTGGGCGGTAGGCATTCTGAAACCGATCAATATGACACCGCCAATACATGCTTCAAAATAATTGATAGGGTCCGAACCAGCGATGAGCGTCACATTCTATTATAAGTTGTTATCGTCAGAGACACATGTAGATTTACATAAAGTCTTCTCCCTACCGGTCCACGTAAATATGCGACCTGCACCCGGAACACTTATGAACATTTATGAGAAGCAATGTGTTCGAAAAATTATTAACTTATATAATAAAAAAAATCAGTTGTCTGTAAAGTCGGTTTACTGACGATAGTTGAACGTGACAACGTCATAAGAAAATACCGATGAAATGGTTTCATTTTTCAATTATCGCAACAATCGTTGCTATAAACAATTGACTCCACATTCACTTTTCACTGAACTTCATACTTGACGAAAACATGTAAATGTATTATTGTATAGCAGCTGTCCACGCGAATGCATCGCTCACTCAAGTAGGAGAGAGACAGATGTCGAACGCTGCCGAACGCGGAGGCCGATTGTGCCTCTTTGTCGCTCGTTGCGCGCTCTCGCTTGCACTTCAAGCCTTAAATGGAACGCCTCAGAGGGAGGTAACGCCGCATGAGTCATGTTTTTTGTGCGTGTAGCCGGCTCCATCGAATTATAAGACGTTGTCACGTCAAAAAGGGGTTTTTAATTTGTAGTTGCATTTTCATTTCTGTTCATCTCGCAAAAATAATTGTAAAACTATTAGAAGTAGTAATTCCAAGTAAAAGATTACAATTCGAGGGTTAAACGTCTTTGTTTTTGTTTCAGAGTTCGTCGCTTACGGACTTGATATCCGCCTTCGACACAAAAGCACAGGCTCACACCGAGCTTCAGAAAGTAACAGCCTTCAGCGGACAATTCGACAAGAACCACAAGCCAACATTCTCAAAAGACGAATATGGAAAGTGAGTTACATTTACTGTACTATAAAGTCTCTGAGAGCTCGTCCAACCAGATAAAAATAGTATTTTATTTCAAAACCATTTATTTGTATATGTATATTTAACTATTAAAGCTTAGAAGACTGCAATATTCGTCATTACATAGGACAGCTTGAAACATTTACGACAATTTTTTATATGACATTCCACAGAGATTTCTCTAAGGGATTTTCTAAGATTGTCTCGTCATCTCATTTTTACCAGTTGAATTTTACCTGCCTTATTCATTTCTATAGTAGTGCTTTTATCTAAATTTCTGTCCCGAGATTATATATTGTGTGTGCTATATTCAGAGTCGCCAAGGTCAAAGGGTGAATGATCAGCGCTTCGAAATCAGTCCAAACTCGGTAGGGACGATACCCGATACATGACTAGGTCAAGTTTCGCACTCAAATGTGGCAGCCCCGCTAGAAACCTAGGGGTGCAGTGATTTAATGACCCACGCATCCAAAAATTAACGGTACGAAAGGAAAAATTACCGGAACGGATTTACTCATTTTATTATCAGTATAATTTTTGGGTTTCTACAAAAACGAACAAACATAATAGCGTTTTGTTAAAGAAATACAATAGATCATTTTGGTTTTTTTTTTTTTTTTTTTNATCACGCACAAATGTGTATTCCGATGCGTAGGTCGCAAGCGACCAACGGATTGGAAGGCACGTTCACACACAACCGAGTCGTAAACGAGAATGTATTCACGGTCACTAAACTGTCGAGCACAACTGTGAGTTCAGAGACGTAGCTCGCAAGCGGGCCACGGATCGGAAAGCACGTCCGCGCACGACCGAGTCGTGAGCGAGAATGTCATTTTGGTACGACTTCAAATTGTATTTACAAAATAAAACACAAAACACCCTATCGTTGTAGTAAACAATAATAAATCAGGAAGCCATTGCCCTTGACATCTAAGGAAGTCGAAAATAGAATAATATCCCATTTACACGGTAAGTACTGATTTACCGAATGACTTGACGGAATGGAATGCTCTTAATGCCACAAATATTATGATACATGTTTGGTTTTATTTACGACCCCGATTCTCAGTTTTAATGCTATCTTTACGCGTACTAACATTTACAAATCGTTTTTCGATTAGAACTGTTTTGGTTCAATTTGTTTTTAATTCATTTTCAATTTAGGAAAGGTTTAGTTATAGAATTACATATTATGATATCTGTCTTTCCGATACTAGTCACTAATTTTATCTATGTGGCTCTACTCTATTTAGCGTTCATCCTTAGTAGTAATTTCAACTTTATATTTTTACCAACGTAAGAGTACTGGCATTCTTTATTTGTGAATAAGTTAATATAGTATAATTAACATTATAAAAACAAAATCGATTCAAAAATTCAAAAACTTCTCAAAGATATAGAAAATATATCCTAAATATATATATCATATTATATTAATACGTGAAGCAAAAACTTTGTACCCCTTTTTACGAAAATTGCGCGGACGGAGGAGTATGAAATTTCCCACACTAATAGAGAATATATAGGAGTGCTATTTATTTATTTTAAATTATTCATTGATAATACATTAAATCAATAAAAAAAACATTACACACACTACCGTGCATTTGACACACACACATATATTATTTATTTATTGTCAAAATTTTGCTTTATGTCTATGGTCAAATTGAGAATAGCTTAATATTGTTTATCTGTAATATTATTTGTCTAAAGTGTAGTGTTGGCGAAATCTGTGATTATAGAAGTATAATAAATAGTCTTTGACAATAGGACCATAATAAGGTTCAAATTTATAATTTCAATTCTAATCGAATTTCGACTACTGCGGGACCACTAGTATATCATAAATATATCCTATATAAATATATATATCCGTATCAATATATGCACATTTAAATAAATTACCAAATTATCATCTACGAGTAATTTCCGCTTAATCTAAGCCGAACGTCACCTTTGTTCTTATAACGTACAGAAGATTTCACTAACAAAAGCAATTTCTTTCAACCGACTGAAATTACTTCTCTCTATGTACAGAGAAAGAAACGAATCAGTATCTTTAAAAAAATAAAAAAAGGTATTTGTTACTGCAGAAGATAAATCGATAGACTCATACTACACACAACACGGATTATATTTTGCTTTAAAAAAGTTTGTTTGCAAAAACAATTGGTTTACAATTCATTTCACCGCAAAGTAATGTAAGGTGATTACATTAAGTCGCATAGCTATTTACATAATAAATGGTTCAATAGACTCTGATCTGGAGAGAGCCCCAAAAAGTTAATAAATGTTCCAGTACAAAACAAACAACATGTAATAATAAGTAGGCTAACCACAACCTTCACTAATTTAAAATAAGACTATGTCACGTCACATTTATAGACTAATTTAAAGTCCCTACATGTCTATAAAAACCGTAACTTGTCATATTTTATGACGCCAGCTTATAGGTAAGCAAATAAGTTAATTTTAATTGTTATAAAATTAAATGTCAATATAATAATAATATAATTTTGTGGAAATCCACCCAGATGGGTGAGTTGTGACTGTCATCAGTTCAGCGTAAGCTTGTATGCAATCTGTATCTGTCAGCCCCGTCATGCATATACAATAGACTTCCTGATGCAGTGTGGTACAGTCTTAATCTACGTGTCTATATTCTATCTGGGCCTATTCCGCTCAATTGTGTAATTTTTTTTATTGCCTAGATGGGTCGTCGAGCTCACAGCCAATCTGATGTGATTACCGGAGCCTATAGATATCTACAACGTAAATGCAGCCACCAACCTTGAGATACGAGTTCTAAGGTCTCAGTATAGCTACAGTGTCTGCTCTCAATAACTCCTCAACTTCATAATATAACTAAGCGTGTAGATTATAGATATTCTCATTAAACAACATTTATTAATCATTGTTTTAGACCTATACCGGGTTCGATGACCGAATACAGAGGCGCAGAAGCACAAGCCAGAGTATGTACAGAAATGAAGGAGCTTTGTGAAATCATCAACGAATACGGAAAGACCCCATGCAAGAGTTTATTACCGCCTGAATTACAAGACGCCACCAAAGTTATATCATTTGGAGAATTATTTACTGTGAGTCTATTTTCATTAGCACTGCTTAAATAACCAGTTACTAACCTGACAATGGGATCGTATCGTAGATGATAGGAATCGAGGCTGCAATAATTCAGATATTACGGATGTGAGACCGCAGTAGCTACCTCGAACAACCAATAATTATCCGTTCTCCGATAATACTCTTATTATCTGATTGCCTCATTATCTCGCATATCCCACCAGTTCCCACTAAGCAGTAGACATAATACTGCTTAGTGGGAACTGGTTAACATTCATAAGTATTCTCATTCATAACTATTTTCTTCGGTTTTAGTGAGTTGTACAAAAAGCAAAACTATTTTAATTTTAATCACGCGTTTTTTTATTGTCATAATGTTATCTTCGACGTTTAGAATACTTTACATTTTTCTCGGTCACGAACGACATTTGAATATTGTGCTCTCTACCATCTATTTTTCTATGAAAATGTATGTATAGTTTTATTTTTGTAGTTTTGATCACATTCTCAATTTATTTCTTAAATTATTATTTTCTATACCAATGGCCCCATTATTCCCAATAGATTCCTTGATATCCCATCATAAAATTTTAGGCCATATTAAAGAAGTGTGGCTTAACTATGGAGGAAAGATCTTCCACCGAGCGGATAATATTGCTCGGTAGACCGACGGTCCGACTGTTGTTGTTCGGAACTTGTATGTAAACTTATTTTGAAAATGTCGTAAGCGAGATTCAGGCACCTGTCAAATATCTTGCGTTGTATGATGGCTACCCGCCACAACTGATATTCATGTATATTAACTGCTACTATAGCCTTGTGGGATATAGAAGAAATTTAATTTTAAGTTCTGTATCTCCGGTGAGGTAAAAGATTGATACAACGGTCTGCTCTCATGATGTTCCGGAGATGGAATGCTTCAGTTCAGTGGATAGGTCCCCCCCTCCTTCCGGCAAGGAATGATGAATGTCTATTTATAATATGTTTTATTTGTATATAAACAAGTAAAACGTAAATTAACTTACCTAACTCCGTTAATTTATACTTCTATTATGATCGTATCATTTAGAAATCTCAACAAAAAAATATAGCTTCGATATATAAATAACACTGTTTGAGTTTTATGAACAAAAAAATTTCTCACAGTGAGGTTCATTCAAAAGTGAACGTGAACGAAGTTCAAAAACCAATATTGAATGTATATTTTCCTATTTAGTATGTTCATATTGAATTGTAAATTTCCTTATGCTAATTAATTGGGTGTATTTGCTTCCAAGAAAACGTGGCACCTAATTAAAATAGCTCTTAAGACCTGACATTGAAGCAGTAAAGGGTCGTCTTTCTTACTTTGATAAGACAAAGAAATTAAATCGGAAGTTACTACAGTTCCGAAGTAANAATATTGAATGTATATTTTCCTATTTAGTATGTTCATATTGAATTGTAAATTTCCTTATGCTAATTAATTGGGTGTATTTGCTTCCAAGAAAACGTGGCACCTAATTAAAATAGCTCTTAAGACCTGACATTGAAGCAGTAAAGGGTCGTCTTTCTTACTTTGATAAGACAAAGAAATTAAATCGGAAGTTACTACAGTTCCGAAGTAAAAAAAAGCGCAATTATTTTGATAGTAGATTTTTCTATTATCCATATCCATATAGTAAGCTACGTGAGAATAAAAATAAAACACTTTTTGTAAATTTCGTTCGTGACTTTGCATTTTTGATTTCTTTAAATGAGATTAGATCCAATAAATTATTAAAAGTTTTTTACATTATAATTGTTTCATTAGTAGCTCATGTGTAACACTTATTTTAAATATTCACGCTTCGTGCTAGTGCGTAAATAAGGCTATGCATCATGATAATTGCCTTATCGTTACCGCCGCTGACTACTTCCTGAATCCTGAGCATACAGATCCATCAGATCCAATAACTTTTGCATTAGACGCCTTCAGCTCTAACACTAGGAGCAGGCTTAGGGACCCCGGTAACCGTTCTCGTCGAACTCGACAAAGATGTCGACGTGCAACCTAACCCATGCATCAGCCCGCTGAGTTTCTCGCCGAATCTTCTCAGCGGGTCGCGATTCCGATCCGGTAGTAGATTCATTCGCGAAGCAATTGCTCTTGAGTTGTTAGGTCTCCTTCGGAGGCGCTCGGGAAGTTGTTAGAAAATCCCACACCTCCTGGCTGAGCCTTTGCTCGCTCACCTGTCCTGGTAAAATTGCAAGGCCTCCGGGCCACCGTTAATCTTTCAATCATAAAACAAAAAAAAACGTGAGCCTGTCTGACGCGGTGATTTCTTGTCTTCATCGTTCGTTTCGTAAAGCTATAAGCATTCATTTCTTAAGAAAAGACTTCTCTTGCATTTTTCTTTCGTAAAGAAATCGAAGATTATTGAAATAGCGTCGTCAATTCTATATTTTTAGCATACTAACAATGTATTTGTCTAGGTTTCTTCGTTATTTAGTATCTCATGCAAAAGCTCTCAAAAATTGCATGTCTTTATCTAAGTAATTCAGCATATGGGATTGTTTTAACGTGAACTCATGGAAAACAAACTGCCAGAACTCAATACATTGTTAGATATTTCGCAAATTATTATTGTTAATTATTTATTTATTTATTTATATATGATGATATATTTAAAGGTCGCATAAACGATAAAAAATATAATAAAACCAAGGAAGCTTGTCACAAAAACAAACGTATTTCAGAGCAACTTACCCATATGATACCGATCCTGCTTGGAGGAAAGACGGCCATTTTCGCATTACGGAGAGATTTAGAATCTCGCATATTTATCTTGTGCGTTATAGAAACAATGGTGACCCTTTTTTCGAATAGAAACGAGCTTGAACAAAGTACCTACAATATTGATTAGACTGAATACTGTTAGGTTAAAACTTCGCAATGTTATTCAAAGTAACTTCTTGATAAACGAGATCTTGATTGACGACTTAGTGAATAATTCGCAGGTAATCAAAGAATTTTTTTCTCCGAAAAACATATTTTTTGCCTTCTGCCAGATGGGAAGTGGTTACTGCTAAAATACCCTTCGTTAGCTTTGTTTCAGAAAATAGGTACTTCGGAGCGCTCCGGAAATACCTAATAAGTTTACTAATTTGTACTTAGTAAGTTGTAGGCAATTTTAAAATGCTTTTATTTTATAAAAATAAATTTGTTGTGAGTTTGTCAGCTAGAGTATAAGGTGATATCCATTTGGTATTTTCTAATAAATTCTAGAACTAAGCCCTAGAACGTTATCACAAAAAAGTTACTTGCAACTTGACAGCCCAGTATTGTCGGAAGATTATAAAGATTAGGTAAATTAATTTCCATGTACTGACAACCGGATATACATATTTAATGCCAAGTTATAATCAGTGGCGGATTTGCAGTCTCGGCCGCCCTAGGTCCCAAGCCATCAGTCGCTCCTTTCTCAGCATCCACCATATAGACTACATAATGGATTTACTTTATTGCCAACTTTTCTCTAAATAGATTCAGAAATTTTTTATTTCGCAAGAATATGGTACATAAGTAGTTACAACTAGTTATTTGCTCTAACGTACTCTGCCAACTTGGCATACTTGGTTATTATAACTCTTACACGAGTGTTATCAACTTTCAACAAATAATTGCATGTTAAATATTTGAATAACCAATTAAACGTAATTAATTTGTACGGAGCTACTTGTTATAATACTACAGCTACGTTATAATAAGTTTTTTGACACGATTGGGGCCGCCCCTAAATCTGGCCGCCCTAGGCCCGGGCCTTAGGGTAAATCCGCCACTGGTTATAATCGGGAGATATACCTATATCTTTAAAATTCGAAAAATAAAAAGCGAATATAAAAAAAAAATCGAATTTATACAGTACTCAAATGCATAAACAGTATAATTAATCTTCATACCACAATTAATACCAAATCCGAATTTAACAATAACAAAACGTAACAGAAAGAATTCTCATCGGTATTTTCGCAACATCAAAACGCAATTAAGACGAACAGAAATAAATTTTGTGGTAACGAGACGGGAGGAAGCCGTAAACCAGAACTAGAATTACAAAGCATTTTTATAGCTGCTATGAGATTTTTATATTTCCGATCTCCCGAATTTCAAATATGCCGGGTCTTAGGGTAGGTAACGTTACCGGATAAGAAGACATTTAAAAAATCTCGACCGCAAAATTATTATGCTCATATATAGTTTTTGTTCAATGCACGCTTTATAACAACACTATTAAAATCAGGTGACGCTCGCGGTCAATGATCTAGGATGACGTGTTCATCAGATACCTGGATATAAGACTAAGAGTTTTCTTTTGTTTCGGTTATATTTTTTTTATTGCTTAGATGAGCTCACAGCCCACCCGGTGTTAAGTAGTTACTGGAACTCACAGACATCACAACGTAAATGCGCCACCCACCTTGAGATATTAGTTCTAAGGCCTCAAGTATAGTTACAACGGCTACCCTACCCTTCAAACGGAAACGCACTACTGCTTCACGACAGAAATAGGCAGGGTGGTGGTACCTACCCGCGCGGACTCACATGAGGTCCTACCACCAGTATTTTTCAGTTAAGGTATTATATTTCGATTGCATTGTTATTGTAAAATCCTACCAAGTAATAGGCATAATCAAATTACTATAAATACATTTTTTTTTTATCTCAGTCACTTAATACTGTTTCCCGTTTATATAACAATTACTTTTATTTGTTATCCTCGCTGATCTAGTACGCAGTAGTGCACTAGTGATTCTGATTAGTACGAAGCACTGACTCGGTTTCCGGTCGGAATCATTGTTTTTGTTACATATTATTATATAGTGGATCTGTTTCGTTTAAGATACGTTTCGGGCACCCATCCCATACCCCAATGAGTTTCTCGCCAGTGGGTCGCGATTCCAATCCGGTGGCAGATTCTGTGAAGCACTGCTTTTGCTAGGGCTAGTGTGTGAACTCTCTGACGATCGTGAGCTCATCTTCCTTTCCGCGAGAAGC